AATGGGAACGTTTTTCTGCAGCATGAATAAGACTGCTTTTCGAACGGTTTTACTTCATGAGTTCAAACTTGGTCGAACGGCAGCGGAGGCAACCACGTAATGTGAACATGGCTTGGGGAGAAGGCACTGCATCAGAACGAACGGTTCGTCGCTGGTTTCAAAAGTTTGGAAATGGAGACGATTTGCTGGAAGACAAAGAGCGAGCTGGCCGACCATCACTAGTTGATCCCGAAGTTTTGATGAAAGCAGTTGAAAAAGATCGACGTCAACCTCTGAGAGAGATCGCCAAGAATGTCGGTGTTTCCCATACAGTTGTTGCTGATCACCTTAAACAGCTTGGAATGGTCAAAAAACTTGACAAATGGGTGCCGCATCACCTCACGGAGCAGCAGCAGTTGAGACGCCTGGAGGTTGCAAGTTCGCTCCTAAGAAGGAACGCTATTGATCCGTTTCTTCATCGGATCGTAACTTGCGATGAAGAATGGCTACTAAATGATAACAAAAAACGTTCTGCTACACATAAACCTTCGAAAACTTTTCCAAAACCAAGTTTACACGTCAGGAAGATAATGATCACAGTTTGGTGATCCTATCAGGGATTAGTCCATTACACCTTTCTTTCTCCTGGTCAAACGATCACCGCACAGTCCCACTGTGATTTTCTTGAAATGAACGCGAAACTGAAACGGATACAGCCAGTACTAGTGAGTCGACAAGGGCCACACGACGCTGCGCGACTGCATGTTTCACAAATCGTCTTCCAGAAGTTGAACGAGTTGCGATGAAGCCCACCCTCATCCTCCATACTCACCAGACCTAACACCACCTGTCTTCCATTTTTTCAAATATCTGGATAACTTCTTAAAAATAAAATTATTCACAAATCAAGACAATGTGAAAACTGCCTTTCTCGAATTTTTAGGGTCCAGACCGCTAGACTTTCATAAGAACGGGATAAATAAACTTGTTTCACCTCGGCAGAATGTGTTGATTCGAATGGGAATTATCTTGAATGAAGAAGTTCACTTTGAGCGGAGTTATGATTTTTTTGAAGATGAACTGTCGAAACGGAAAAACTTCTCTTACAACCTAATACTTTCACGAAACATCCATTAACTAGATGTATGAATTATGTTTGTTATTGAATTATGAATCCAATTATGGAACCTTGTGAGATCGAACGGTAATAACGATTGAGCTCAGATATTGATGTGGATTTGGTGACAATCAAATATTTTTCATCATCTCCTTGGGGGGCTCGAAAATGAGCATCGTCGAACATGAGCTCGTTGCTAATAGACGTTGCTTCAATATCGTTTTGAGCTTTTGTCGGTCTTTTTCCCTAAT